ATGTTTGAAAAAATGGTGCAGGTCTTCAATTGTTGGTAAAAACCCCGATTTTTCGAAAAATTCAAAAATTTCAAAAATTTGTTTGGCGCCTTCGTTACAACTACAATTAAGAAGATACCACTTTTTCGTATGAAATGAGTTTCATCAAAATAATATTTTTAAGAAAGCGTCGTGTTTGATTTATCAACATGAGTATTTTTTGCCGGAAAATGGTGTCCAACATTGGTAATTTTTATTTCATTAGACCATTTTTTTTAAAACCGCGCATTTTGGTATTAAATTGAGGACCTTGGATAGAATAAGAACGCTTAGAAAAATGGCGCGCGGTTCTCATATTTGTTAAACATGCATGATTTTTGTCAAAAATTTTAAAAAATTTACAATTCAGTCCTCAGCTTTTCTGCCAACTACAATTGGGAATATACTTTTTTTTATTAATGAAATCTGTTTATAGAAAACAGATTAATGTAAACAGTAAGGTAATGTTCAATTGTTGAAAATTTGAATTTTTTTTAAAATTTCAGAGAAAATTAATGTCGGTTCGAATTTACTGCGCTTCTTGGACATTATTTCCAACATTTTGGATGCTTCGTAAGTTGGTCGAATTTGTACACTCATATACTTCTTTGTTTGTGTCTTACATTCGACCTCTTGTTGTACATGTTATCATTAATCTTTGTAGAAATTATTTAAAACGCATTGGATTTGAAATACTGCTAGCTTTACAGGGAAATATCAGATTGGAATGCGCAATGAGTCAGGAGCTCATTTTCTGGTTCTTATTGTTGGGCATGATTTACTCTATATGTTACAGTTATAAATGTCATATTTGTTTGTGAGATTTTGCTTGAAAATATTTAGTTTTTGCACAAATTTTGTACTATGTGTTGAATTAACGCGGGAAGCGGGCAGTGTTTTATACTTGTTTTGAAAACGAATTTTAAAATACAACTCACGATGCTCATCCACGCCGTTTGAATTACTGTTTTCCTTGGCTGGTTGTTATATCATTTGCCACCGTAGGGGTTTTATTGTCTGATATGTTTGAAAAAATAATTGTCGTTTCAAAAGAAATTCATGTCTTGTTAGGAACATATTTTTTATATAATTTTATACTTGATAATTGTTTATACAAAAAGGTTTTAATGACATTACAGTAGTTTTATTGTTTCAGAAAATTGCGGTAACTATCGATTTATTAATTTAGCTGCAATTGTCAATACATTATTGGAAATAAAAATATATAATTCACCAATTATTATACTTTACAGTATTTTGAGTTGAATTATTGCTAAATGTTGAAACATTATACCGTAAAAACTCTGGGCGCAAAACAAGTCATAGTCGCGTCGACGAAGCGTTAACGGCCTCCAGCTGACCCGACCTCAAGCTACTTCCGTGAGCTGTGGCTATTCTTTCCGGGCGCCGCCGTCTTCGCTGCTGCGCCCCGGTGCCGTTTTCTTTCAAAGGGGCGCGGGGCAACCATTACATCCCCCGTGCCCAAAGTGGCGTCGTATACGGCGCAAAAATGCACTGACCAGCTGGAATCCTAGGCGCACAGCTCTGCTCTGGATGATTTTTTGCGTGTCGCTGCTGTCTGATGATACCTCCTGGGTTTCTGGAGAAACTGCTTGCTCCTTAGTTGCACAGCTTTTTTGACAGCTGGGTTCCTGTGAACTGTTTATAACTTCCTTGAGCACTTTCTTCCTGATCTTCTGACGGGAAACCCTTTGTAGGGTGTCTATCGCTACCCCTCAGAGTCCCACACCATGATTTGCCCCGCGGTGGTGTGCCACTGTTCTATGTCTGCTCTTTATAATATAAACCTCTCCCTGAAGTTCCTGAATTATTCTGCAGCACAACGCGTATCTTTTTGAAAGAAAGTCAGTACACCTGCTCCCCTACCTTAAAACTTCGAGTATGAGCCCTCTGACCTCTAGGCCTCTTTCGTTCTTTGGAGGAAAACTAATGTGTGGGTTTGCTACCGTGACGGATTTCCCGCTGGGCGCTCTTGCTATCTCTACCTGGCAATGCTCGGTAGGTGACGAGGACGCCGCAGGACTCGTAGCCCGCACTATGATGGGAAACAACTGGAACTCTGCTTACTGCACGCTGCGCGCCCGTTTTATTACCCGATCAGGGCTGAAGGCTCCCGGACTTTGCCCGCCATACGGCGATTGTTGCGCTCGGTCGCGCCGACAATGCATGACGGCCCCGTTGAACCCGACCTCAGCGACCTTCCGTGAACGGTGCCCGTATTTTCCTGAGGCGCCACCGCCTCGCTGCCACGCCCGCGGTGCCGGTTCTTTCAAAGGGGCGCGACGGCCACTACCCTTCAAATAGTTTTGTTTTCCACAGTCCACTTTTTTCATTCAGGTCATCGTGTATTTTATTGAAAAATATTAGTCGGTTTCGCGCAAATAATTGCGAGCAATATGTGCAATTTTAAAAAAATCCAAAATCAAGATTTTTTCTAAACGTGCTTTACATTTAAACAAATTAGCCGGGATAGTGCAAAATGCACTGTGGTAAATGACATAACGCCATTTCCTTCTATTCTTTTTGTTTTTTTTCGAAAATTTTTGATTAAATGTAATTTTTTCTGATTTGTCTCTCACTCGTTGATATTTACATTAGCGGTAATTTGCTCATATTTATGAGTACAGTAGCGTACCCCCGCGAGAACTCTCGCATGTTAATCTCACCCTAATTATTTGTATACTAAAATTATTGGGAATATTTTTTACCTCAAACAAACCAATTGCGAGTCCAAAAAATAAAACTAATATTTCACCTACGAGTAATAAAAAATCATTTGTTACCTAATAACTATTCTCGGAAGGTTATACTTCATCTCGGTACATTTCGGAATGTCGCTCAAACAATGTTTATGTATTGAATATCTAGCGGACTGACACCTTAAGTTTCAAATATCAAGTGGTGTATTATTGGACAATATTACGCTTACAGCTGATCATTGATGTAGAGACTGTTTTAAATACCGTCAACTTTTAAATAGTACGTCTGGATTGCGATCGATGGCAGCTGCCGAGTGACTTGCCGCAATTCTTTCTACAACTTTAAATTGAATTGCTTTTACTTAAATTAAATTCACGTAGTATTAGATTATTGCTGTCATGTTTTGATTTTTGTTGTTCTTTTTTTCAAGCTATTTTACTTTAGTTAATTTAAAAAGTTTGTAGTTCTTTGCGTTGTACCATAGTTTTTTCCCCTGCTATCTCCGTGTAACCGTTTCCGAGAATTTTCTAGTGTTACAACCTCTCTCTTTCCTATCCTTCGCTATCTAGTTGTGTAACGAAACATATTTATTTGTTACAAAATGTATAAAAGTTATTTCAATTGTACTAAGACCAATATCAAATAAAATGCAATTAATATTTAAATGAAATAATCAATTCAGATTTACTCAGCATTATTGAGAGATTTCTTGGACCATTCACAACAACGCTTAAAAAAAAATTTAAAGCAACTATTCAATATTCTTTGACAGTTTATCGCTTTTCGTGATAATTTGCAAAAATATAAAAAAAAATATTCATAATTTTAAGAAAGCTACGTGACTAAAGACTGACTTGGAACTTAACTTCTCTGCTGATAACGAAAATACAGGTGCAGGTAAAAAACAAACCAAACCTAGCAAGACAGGTCTTCACTCTTCACTGTACACCCACATCCCTCCACAATTAGGTACAAAGCACTTTTAGACCTTCGCAAAACGTTAAATGAGAGTTTTCACTACACACATAAAAAAACTCAGCAACAGTCATCTACAGCAACTATCAATAGTACTTCTAATTGTTGCTGCGAGAGCAGACCTTGAATTAATAATTATGCAAATAAACCTCGTCAGTATGCGCAAACCACGATGTACGCAGAAAGCGTAAATAGTATAAGAGAGAGGAATTAAGCCTTCTAAGGGTGACGTCACAAAGATGGTCACCATCAGTGAAGTATAGGAGGCACTGGTAGTATCGAGAGCACCGCAGAGGCGATAGAAGTACGGAACCATCAAAAATTTAATAGAATGTCTACGAATGAATCATCCTGTAGATAACGGTTTATTTGGGGCCAGTGGGCTCAAAAATTTAACTTTTAAGACCCTAGAACCTGGTTAGGAGTTATGTAACGAGATAGCTACACGAGTGCTGCGGGTTGCATACGACACGGATTCAGATATTCAGATTTTTTTTTAACACACATCCTTCATTTTTTAAGTCTAAGTGTAACTCGTCACGTCTCCATGATTTCTCATTCTTTAGAAAAATCATTTATAACGATTGGTCGCGTTTGAGAATCGCAAAAGGAATGTATACCACTGAAATAATATAGGAGAAGATGTGCTTTAAATAAAATTCAACTGTTTTCTGAGAAACATGGCTCGAAATTCCACATGTTTAGAAATTTTCAATAGCCATTTGTTTAAAAAAACTGCTTTAAATATTTTTTCAAACTTTTCGAACGGATTTTGCTAATTGCACGGCACAAAATATGACATAAAATTCATTTCAGTGTATTGTTTTCCATCAAAAATTACACAAATGTAGTTTATTTGAAAGATCTCTAAAGCCGTTAATACGCACATTTCCAACAATGTGTAAACTCAATTTTCTACACAAGTTAAAATTCTAAAAATTACTTCCAATAAAGGTTTTTGAAAACTCAAAAATGTTCTGTGAAAAAGAGCTTCAAATTTTCCATTTACAATAGAGCCTAAGCGCCATTTTCTTAAAAACAAATCAAAATGTTTCATAGAATATTGACGAGGTTTTACGCCAAGGATGATAGAAAATTATCTAATATGACAGTTTCATTAAATTTAATTTATACCTTTATATAAGCAAAGGAAAAAGTAATTTTCAGTAATATCTTATGTAATGTACTCTTCTGCTGAGGGCCTGCTAGTTAAATAGAAATACGTTTAAAATAGAAACTAGAAAAATAATGGATAATTTCAGTACTACTGAACATCTTTGTTTCAGTTAACATTGTTACGAGCCTGTTAGCAATCGTGAATGCAGCCCATCTAACATTAGGAATGTTTCTGATTTTGGGGTCCAATGTGGTAAGTATTACTTGTTTTATATTCTATACACATAAAAATATAAATCATTTTCATTTTCACATACAATTTTTACTAATTTTTTACTTGTAGTAAACAAAGTGACCCAGGATTGTTAATATATAGAGAGTCTGGCGGATCTATACATCACATTAGAGTGGACATTCGTACATTTTTCTTAAATAAAAAACATATATAATATACAATATATGGGACTCCACGTCAAATCGCATAAATTTAAGCAAAATGTGGCCTTGATGTTCCACATTTTTAAACTTTTTTCTGTGAAGAGTATAAGCAAAAGTGTGAAACACGTCTTTTTCATTTTTACCGAAATATTATTTTTCGAGATTATATTAATTTACAAAATTTTCGAAAAAATGCTTGCATTGACAAAGTTAATTATTTTTAACTCGTGTTATAATTGTGACAGAAATATAATATTGTAACATTAAAGAACAAAAGATTCTCTTTCTTTTGATGTATGTATTGAATTTATTAATTTTTTTATAATTATTTTTTGACCTATTTGTTTTCATTTTTGTAATTTCTTCCAAAACTCATCAATTTAAAAACTCTTTAAATATACCACTGTAATCTCTCAAAAGTTCAACATAAGTCTATTAAGTTACAAAACGGAACACAGAGATGATTCTGAGAAATAGAAATGTCTTTTTACTGTTTTGCGTCTGCTAGAGCGTCACCCCTCAAGCACGTACTAATCAGCACCAGATGATTACCATTATTTACATTCAAATAGAACTAACACTTCATATCGTACTATGTGCCAGATACATATATATGGCCTACATAGCCGTTTAAATTCAAATTAAAAAGTGTCAAACTGATTCAATTTAATATTAAACGGATGGAATATTATACCAATAAGAGTATATGATACTGTTAGAAAAATTGTCATTACTTTTACATTACTTTACAGAGAATATCGTTAATTATCATTTTCAAGTTAAATGTTTCAATTTGCAAATAATTATTTTTGAAAACTCTCTCACGCTTTTATTATGTTCATTTCGAGAAATTTGTAAACGCTATTGTATTTGTTAGTTAAAGCACTTCAAATGTCTTCTAGTGAAGTTTATGGAAATTTGAATTTTCTGTGAACAAGGGCTTCAAATTTCGGATATACAGTAGTGCCTAAGCGTCATTTTCATAAAAACCGCTGTAAATTTTAGAAAGAAAATTGCAATTTAAGACGAGTTTTACTGTTTTTTAATATTCATAAAATATTTCCCTTTTTGAATTAGAAAACCGAAAAATTATGACAATTTCAAAAAAATGTACTTCAGGCGACGATAGGTGGCAGCTGGCAAGTCCGAATAGCTAGCCGAGACTAAAAGAAATAGAAAACTAATACGGGAAAGTGTGTGCCATTCTGTAGCCCCACTGGTTCGATCTATTTGTTTGCTAAGGCTATCAGTTTCATATTATTACTTTCCGGTATACATAGTTTAATATACGAAGTAATATACGCAGTATGGGGAAAGTTATGTAATGCTGCGGAAGGAGGCATAGATTCGATATTCACGGTTAACTCTGAATCATCGAAAATTTCAAGACTAGAATTTGTCGGGGTCTTCCTACAACTACAAAATTAAAGATAAAGATTTTTCATTGAAAGGGTTTTTTTGGTCCATAGTTTGTTCTTTCATTAAGGAAATTTTAATATGCAGAATAGTGTGTAATTATGTTATATGGGATAATGACATGATTAATAACAAAACAGTTAAAACGAGGCCAATTGAAAGTCTCAAAGATAAACATAGAAAGCGAAATGATATAGAATCAGAATAATAATTAAATTAAATATGACGGAATAGGTATAATATGTAGAGGCAAATGTTCGCAAAAAATGTAATTCATTATAAGTACACCAAGAATACTCAAGATATAAAAGTGTTGTGCAGTGACGCGAGTGCAAGAACGCATAGTGCGTAGTGCATCAAGAATTCAAGACGTACGCAACAAAATCTTGTCACATATACTCATATTGTTATTGTAGTATCGTTGCAATATTCATTTCAATTTAATATTCAGCGATCTATGGTGGGGAGTTGTGACATACCAGAATGTCACAGGAGTGTAATACAACGTAATGGATGCATCTAGAATGTTAAAATCCAAGAAACACGCGTAGCTTAGCAACGAACTATAAAGCATATGACTATAAAGCAGAAGCCATGATGGATGCTAGACGAGATTTGTATTGTAAAGATACGGCACGACCTGGTGTCATGAACATGAAATTGATTAGGGGAGGGCGTTGAAAATTGATATTTAACAAAATGTAACGAATTCTCACTCTTACAGAAGCGGCCAAGTAGTTCACATGGTATGAACATTATGAAATTGTAATTTTGCGATAATAGATTTATGTGGTGGGAAAACATTTATTTGGTGAATCCATAAGAGTGTGGGATAAGCAGTATTGTTTATTTGAGTTTTATGTGGGAAAATGTTAGTATTGGTTTAATAATAGTTACATTTGTGTCATGTATGAATTTTGATTTTAAAAAAATATTTAGACATCGGGTTCGTGGGTTTTCATGAGGTTAGTAGGAATTATCAATTATTTATTTTAAGGATATCGTAATCCGCATAAATTTCCACCCGAAGTCTAGTGAGGTAAAGTCGCGATACGATAATATTAGAGCAGGTGTAGGGATTTTCCGAATAGCGGACTGTATAACTGTCCGATGGCGTTCAAAGTTTATACGGACATTACGGCTTATAAATTACAGCACAGGGGGGCCAGGACATCCCCTTTAGGAGAAGACACTGACATCGTATCAATTGTGAAGACATTCCGTAAGCTTACGAACTTTATCGAAGCCGTACGGTTGAATAATGTTTAAAATCCATAGAATCACGAATTCATAACTAGCTCCAGACATGTTACTAGAATATTGCAATAAATTTTATTTGTTATTTGAAAAGAAAAGGATAATATTTCATTAAATTGCCATCAATTCAGTAAATTCCACAGAAGTTCCAAGAATCATGATTTATGTACAGTCACACGTCCACGTGCAACAGGTAAGGTGATGTATGTTGTACGTCGAACTCATGCAATAAAAATAGAGCTAGCCAAACTATGAGTAATTAGAGCAGTTGGTTTACAAGCATAGCAGGGAAAATTGTTATTTGAAGTATCATAAAAACGTTACATATGGTTACCCAGCTTGGGGAATGATAAAATAAGTTGAGTTAACGATAGTAGATAAATTAGAAAGGTTAAATTTTTACAAAATGGCCTGCCCTACGCGGGGCAGGTTCATTCAGTTTGGTACTGTTTTAGCACTAGTTTCCCGCAGCATTACATTAGTTTCTCTCTAGTGCGTGGGCAGTAGTGAGAAAGTAAAAATGTACACAGTAAGTGAAAACCATGCTAAGTGGCAAAAATAAAATTGCGAGATAATTAAGAAAACTATTTCTATAGCACGTGGGACTTGACTGATGCGCGGTATATTGGCGACAATTTGAACTCCTAAGAATGAGAATTTCAGGTAACGCATTTTGCATTGCATTGCACTGCACTGCACTGCACTGAATACTTACTCTGCTTCTCAGCACCACATGCAAATTTTCACATTCTGGCAAATAGGTCGGATTTCATGTATGTGCTCTACAATTGTAGTGGCACTAGAAGAGAAAAAGTTTCGATATGCCCGATTTCCCATCAGTCTTTTTTTTTCATTTCATTACGATCGTCTACGTGCGCGGTATAAATCTGAACTTCAATTCTGTTCTCCGTTTTTCATTTTTTTTATTTACATGTCACATATTTCGTTAAAAAGTAAATAGCAATACTACAAGGAAAATTAAATTATGACTAATGGTACAATTAATGATTACATCATTATCATATTTACATAATTACAAGTAATAGTTACAATTAATTAATAAATACAATTCATTAATAAATACAATTCATTTTGTGTTGAACCATTTACAGTGTCGCCTGATAGTTTGAAGAGCTTCATCCCCAAATACCGTGTACCCCGAAATTATCAAGTTAAAAAAGAGTTTTAAATACAATTGTATCTATTTGGCATTTTTGGAACGATGTCCTCTAAGCCTGTGGTTAAATTCCCGCTTGGCGTGTAAGAGAGGTATGTGGCGGACATAACGCAATCCGTCCGCAGCAACTAGCAAACTCTGTCTGCCTCAGCTTCTCTTCGTCGCACAGCTACAGAAACTGAGAAATTTTGAAGGCGAGCAATCTAACCCGGGATCGAACCACGGGAAGTTGTTGTGAATACATTTAAAGAAAATAAATTTTACTACGTAAGTAAACGGGGCCCCTTTTACAAACCCCGACTCCATTCTCTCTCCTGTGGGCACACCAATACGCATGGTGGAGTAAGGACCCTTTCACACGTCGCCTCAGCGGTGCGCTCCCGATAAGCGGTAGGACTCTTCCCACGCCGCCACCGCTGCGCACCACCGTTACACCGCAGACCGCCGTGGAGGGGGTGGGTTCTGCAGAACACCCTGCGGTGACGATTAAAGGGCCGCAACAGGTATAACGGCGAGACTGGCGGCGCAATACTACCATGAAAAGATGCGGGAAGAGGGAGGGTTCGGCGGGGGTAGGGTATGCCGACCCGGCGGCGACCACGAAAACCTGACGCGGCAGTTAAAACGTCGGGACCGAGTGCCCTAGTGATAGTACCTCCATTTAATCCAATGCTTTGTTAGCGGTGGCGCTGGTGGTGGCAAACGTCACAGCTGCGCTAACCCGCCGCCCGTGGGAAGAGCTTCATTTAAACCAATGCTTTGCTACCCGCTACCAGTGGAGCCGCGCGAAGGTCCTCTAAGGGCGGCGTGTGCGTGTGCGCAGCGGGAGCGCGGGCCGGCGTGCGCGCTGTGGAGGGTGTGGGCGCTGCTGGCGCTGGCCGCCGAGACGCTGCTGCTCTTCTCCGTGCTGGGGATGCTGCGCTCCGCCGGCGCGCTGCCCTGCGCCCTCCCGCTGCTGGGCCTCGTCGCCGCCGCCATCGGTGAGCGAAGCGCCTCTTTACACTTCTGGCTACTTGACAGCTCCAGGCTGACAGGGGGTTACGTTATCCAATCAGAGGCTTCAAATTAACATTATGTGGCTGCAGTATTGCCGATATTTATAAAGAAGAAACTTCTTGGGTTATGCATCGTGTGAGCGGTTCTGTGTCGTCGACTGTTTTGTGCTCTTAATGTGGTTTGTTTCTAGCTACTGTTGTGATCTGATGCAAAAAAGATCCCACGACCACGTATATGCTGCTCGAGTAAATGGCAACATCGTTCTGCCGCCACCCGAGCTGTCAAGTAGTCAGAAATATTATTTATACAATATATTGTGGGTTGGCTTGCAAAGTAAGAGGGGTGGATTTCAGAATAATGAGAAGCAACTAAATTATAACTTCAAAATCTAATTGTAATATAAATAAAAAATGGGTGTTCTTTGATATATCGCATTTTCATTTTGTTCTTAATGCTAAGTGATTCATAATGCCCTTTTTCTAGTTAAGGGATTTTTTCTTTTTTCATTCACACAATAATAGTACTTTATTTATTATTTGCACCGGCGAGCGTTATCCGGCGGCGGGATGCACACAAACGTCATGTCATTTTGCAATTGAAATCTTGTACTGCTATAAGATTAAGAACTTTATTGCATTATTTGCAACAATTATGTATTGTTGTAATACTACTTCTATACTGAGAAATTTTTCCAACTCGCAATTGTGTTCTGCCGAGGTTGGAATTCCAACTCGTTCTACACTTCACTCGCACTTCACATATCTGCTCCACCACTTGCCACTTGCCACCAGTTCAGTTCCGAACGCTTCAAAACTAAAGTTAAACAGCTGCAATTTTAGAAAACTCAGAGGTTTTAATGCTAATAAATGTAATGATCTAAAGGTTATACATTTTATGATATTTTGGGTAAAAAATTATATCTTTATTATTCTAGTAAAGACAACAGCCAAACAATTTAAAATTTTGGAATTTTAAAAGTTCACAGAATTGGGCGAAAAAAAACTGTGCAATATTTATTAGTGTGTATTCTTTATTCGAGAAAAAATAAAGAAACAATTGGTGACATTTTGAGAAACTTTGAAACATGTTCGTCGAGACTGTAAAGTAACAAAATTCAAAATTATTCGTTTTCAAACGCAAGATATACCACACTTATCTTGCAGACTCATCGCGGAATATAATATTATTGTTTAAAATATGAACGGTTTAGATGCTAGTGTTGTTCGCAGAGAGACGGACTGACGTTTTAACTTCAAATCAATGTTTCGATTTCCAAGAATCCTATAACCGTCATATGAGTAGGCAACCAAGAGTTGGGCAAAATAAACTCGCAAAAGATTTAATACAAAATATAAAATACTTTCGGGACGAAGCTATTTTAGATACCAATAAGCAATACACCATGAAGCATTTAAGATGAAAATGTAAATACTTTTGAAATACAAAATGAAAACAATAGTGATCAAGCTTCAAGACAATTTATTTTTCAAAACTTGGTTGTGGTTCTTACATTTGTATAAATTGGGACACATTTTTCTTCAACACTCTTAGTTTTTTTTCAAACATTGTATTACAATGTTATATTTCGTGTAATTGGGTACTGGACTAAGCTCAATTCATAAACAAATAATTTATGGTTTTAGGCGTCTTTCTTTGTGCAACGTTCATGCCGTAGAGAGAAGTTATTTAACGCTGCGCGAAAAAATGGAAACATTTTCGGAAGAACCCTCTTTTGCCGGACCCTGAGAAACGGAAAAGTAAATATATTCTCACGTTTGATAAGTTTAGAACACTCTCTAACACAGAGTATACCCAAAACCCAGGGTCTGTGATATCGAAATAGTATATTATATTATAGTGTATAATGATCTTTTTGGCACGAATAAGAATAGCCGATGAACGAAACGGTAGGGTTAATGGTATACTCTAAGGTGTGTTCGTTTGCATGCAATCCTTCTGCGACACTCTTGCTTTTAACATCTATATCTCTACTCTGTCCATATATCTGTTGGCTGAGGGCAAACTGAGTATGAGGTGTGTAAGTAAAGAACTAGATTAATTTCCTAGAGCAACTAGGTCAAAGCAACGAAAATAGGGACGAAAAATCACGATCTAAAATGCAAATATGGTCGGGGGTCTGTGTGGTAGTGGTCATAGTGTCTGGTGGTGGTCCGAGAATGCGAAGGCGCTCTTCACTGTAAAGACAAAAGAGAAGCGGTCGGCGTTGTGATTGAGAGGTTTTAGCGCATATAGCAAGCGGAAGAGGGGGAGGGGAACACACATAAAATGACAGCCAATCAGTAGAGAATAGGAGACAACTTGTTTTCGAGAAAGTACAAGCCATTCTCTTCCTCATTAAGCCTAAATGATGCCTTGAGCCTACAATTGAAATCGCCTGTTTTCTCGCCCAAGATACCTCCTTTCATCTCCTAGTTGGGGAAAAGGCGGCGTAGGCGAAATTTGCGGTGGTCAGACGGAAGACGGGGCCTGAATGGTCGAGGAGTCCTCTCTGGTCGCTTTGGTTGTATTCGCGGCAGATTTAAGGAATATACAGAACTTTTCCCTGTAGTCAGAGGGAATATTTAATAGTTTTGTTTTGTTTAGTGACGAGTTTCGCCATCGTTATATTGAAACACGATCACCTATTGAGCGGATTCCTTGCCCAACAAGACTGGGTGATAAAGCAACAAGTTTGTAGGGGTCTGGTCTACTGTATATTAAGGAAAAGAGTACTTCAACTGCTGTTGAAAGAAAGACTAACATTTGTCTCCAGACGTTAGGTGAAGTTTGATACAATTGCACAGACAATGTTAATTGAATAAAAGCAAAAACGAACAAATAAAAATTGTGAATGTGAGTTTAACAAATGTGCCATTATTATTTAACAGAACTAAATTATGTACAAAAATGCATAATATACACTTAAGAAAACTTTTTTTTACATCGAAAAGCTGTCTGACTTTCGATTTGTTTTTTTAATCGCCAAATGACAAAAAAATCCCTAGTCAATATCCATATGAACATGGGGTAATGTCTATTATTGTAGTTACGAACAGTGTACATGTATCTTCTCTTCTATGATATCTCTTAATATAATTTATGATTTTGCAGCTCTGTAAAACCGGTTCACACGGATGGATGGAAAATTCATCAAAAATTTTCAGAAAAAAATTTATTAGCAACATATTACCATTTGAATTGTCGCAATGGTATACGACTATCGAACAACGACTAATTGGCCTCTGCAGCCTTTAGACTGTGAGATCTCAGTTTCGATTCGTGACAGCGCGAGTTTTCGGATCATATATTACATATTAGGTCGAATTTGCAGCTCATAGAGGATAATTCTTCGGCCAATCGTTGGTTTATGCAGTTTTTTTTCAATCATATCAAGGGGCGAATAGCCTAACAAGACGAGCCTCAGGACCGAGTGCAAACACTACTTCTACATCCCACACAAACACCTGTACCATGGGTGGCGTTTCCGGGCGTTATCTCCTCGTTCAAGCTCGAAAGGAAAACGCCCTCTGTCCTTGCAACAAACATTTACACATTCAGGACTAGTTTCGGGTGCCAGTCGCTAATCAAATAATCACATTTTATTAAGTCTACTAGTTTCACAGATTCTTTTTAATGTAGTATATGAAGTATTAAAATATTATTTGTAAAACTTACACTAATGTTTGTGACAAAATTTTTTACATGGAAGTAAGGTAAAGGGTGTTACACTTTCTGAGACAAAAGAGAAAACGAAATATAAACGGGTAGAACACATTCGGTAACATCATAATTATACGAGTTCGATATTTAGAGACCTGACGAAATAGAAGTAGTGAAATATAATTGTGGGATTCTGCATGCTAGAGACCAGTGCCTTGTGCTTAGGTTGCACGGTGTACAACACCGCTAATAATCGACAATACTTATACGGACATTAGTATATACTTTTTTCCTTGTATTTTAAAATTCAAAATAATGCTACCAATGATGAGATAGTATGAAAATCATTCTTCAAAGAACAAAATGCCAATCAGTGTCTCTGCGGCGTCTGGTGCTCTTCTGTACTGGTGTCCCAGTCATTTAGATTGCAGTAAAGCGCTTTATGAGAGCAGCGTTGCCTCTTTCTGCCACTAAAACTTCTCTAACGCAACAGCACTCGTGTTTGGAATACTCGCATTGGACACAATATGTTCCAGCTAGTTCAGCACCTTTTCAACATCCATAAATACTTGATTTTATTGCATGAAGCTTTGCCATGTAGTGGTTTTTGCATACAATCATGAGTAGGGTCCAGATTTTTATGACTTGTTATATTTTCCTTTGTATTACGGAAAATATGAAGTATGCAATGATTTAATCTAGTAAAATTACAAATTATGCAATTTTCATTATAAAGTCTTTTTTTGGCGTTTTTTAACTTCCCTTTGGTCATTTTAACGTATACTTTTTCATTATATGATGATATTTTTTGCCAATACGAAATTTATTGTACTTTTTGTATATTTTTTATGCTTTTGGATTCCATTGTTTGCATACTTGTGCTGGCATTCAAAAAGATTTTTCACCATCTTACCTATCTGTAATCTAATTTCTGACAACTGTTGCATATTAATTGTCATTTCTTCTTTCTGCGAACAGGATCACGCGTGTCAGCCAACTTCAGGACCTTTTTTTTTAATTGGGACCCAGCATTTAGACGATCGATTTTTATTTCCCCACGACTGGTTACACTGGGGGTATGGGAAGATGAAATGGTAATAATATTAGGGGTGGAAAGGACGAAACCATCAAAAATACAGCAAAAATCCAGGAGCAAATTGTAGAAAGGATTTTAAAGTATTTTACGGGATGTGATGTAGATCAATTGTAAGTATAAAAAGTTGGTGAATTGTTTTGTTACAGAAATATGATAGATTGTCGTACCAGCATGTTTCTAACTTTCGTTTATGTAGCATTATTAAGTCGAATATAAGGTGGGGATTGG